ACTAATCTCTCACATAGTATCATAAAGCTATGGAATTGTGTCAAGTACACTTATGTAACAACATATAGGTGCTCTCAAAGATGATGTTCTCTTGGACAGGAGTCAGCTGGAATGAATTTACAGCCAGCCTAGACTTCAGTTTGCTTATCTTTGGAGACATGGTCAGCCTGGGATCAAGGCTGAATTCTTTGGTTCTTATATTTTTCAAAGAAAAGGTCCTTTTCTGGGACTATGATTGGTCATTTGAAAAACAATACTCTTCCCATTTGTTGACATAATTCTTGCCATATTTGTAGAAGATCTTTATTAAGGCCATGCTAGCCAGGCAGCTCAGTGGATTCCTGGTCCTAAGCTACTGCCAATTAAAAATGAAAATGATTGTCTGGGATTCTCCCATTAGTCATATTAATAATAGAATACTCCAAGCACATCATCAGAGTATCCTTAAACTCATTTAGTTTCTCTAGCCAGTACAAGAAGCTGACTATCACTTGTAGGAGCAAATAGAGGGTCAGTGCAAAAAAGGAATGGTTATGACTGGGAAGAGAGGGGAAGCAGTATTATTTAGAAATAAGAACAGTATTGCATTATAATTTTTTTATTTTTTTTTAAATTTTATTAATTTATTTTGATTTATCAACAATCACTTCCAAATGCTTTTGAGTTGAAAGTTTTTCTCCCCCTTCCTCCCCCCCCCTCCCCAAGACGGCACACAGTTTGATATAGGCTTTACATTTACATACCCATTAAACATATTTTCACATTAGTGAAGTTGTAAGTAAAAATTAAAACTAATAGGAGGAACCATCAGAAAGATGAAACAAAACTCAACAGGAGGTAAAAATAAGTAATAGCGATTCGACTTCCATAGTTCTTTCTTTGGGTGTGGACGGCATTTTCCATCCCGAGGCCTCTGGAGATGTCTTAGATCCTCGGAATGCTGAGAAGGGTTCAGTTTAACAATCTTAGTCATTGCATAACGTGGCTGTTATTGTCTACAAAGTCCTCTTGGTTCTGCTCACTTCACTCAGCATCAGATCATATAAGTCTTTCCAGGTTTTTCTGAAGTCAGCCTGTTCATCATTTCTTACAGCACAATAGTATTCCATTACATTCATGTACCACAACTTGCTCAGCCATTCCCCAATTGATGGGCATCCTCTCAATTTCTAATTCTTTGCCACCACAAAAAGAGCAGTATTGCATTATAATTAAGAAGCATCACGGTAGAGTAGCAGAGTAGAATAGCAAGTCTAGTTTTTATTTTCACTTCCATCATTATTAATAGCCATGTAATCTTGGACAAGTCACTTAGATTTTCTGAGTTTCAACTTCCTATTCTGTAACACAGGATTAATAATGCTTGCTTCACAGGGTTGTTGGGAGGATCACATGAGATAACATATGTGAAAGCTAGTCCTATTTCTGTCACTAATGAACTATATAGCTTTAGGCTTCAGCGTCCTCATCTGTGAAACTATGGGGTTGGAATATGTGATCCCTGAGGTCTTTTTTTTTTTATCATTTTATGACTTTAGAATATTTGGAAAACTATAAAGCAACATACTAAGTTATTATTAGAGAATTATTATAGTCAGTGATGGTAACCAGTGAAGCCCAAAACAGGGAGACATATGTTCATGAAAGCATTTACAGTTATCATGGAAGATGTCTGATTCACATGGTGAGGCCCTCCATAGATGCTCCTGTTGTAAATAACATTGTGCTGATTAAGCCCCAGGACACTGTCAGGAGTTTTAAACCTTTTTTTTTTTAGGTCATGGACCATTTCATTTTGGTAGTTTGTTGAAGTCTATGGAGCCTTATCTCAAAATAAGGTTTTTAAATAATTGAAGGAGATGTTAAATCTTAAAGATCAGTGGCAATAATATTTTTCTCATCCAAATTCTAACCCTGAAATCTTTTCATGGACCCTAGGTTGAGATCCCCTGCTATCGAAGCTCCTAAGTGAGATTCATAACCAGAAGAATTCAATCTAACTATCTATATAGGAAAAAACAAGTAGATAAAAAAAAAGAAAAACAAGTAGATGAAGAATGCCTATTGTATGGACTACTATAGGCAGTTGGATTGATAGTGCATAAAACTGATCTTTCAGTATACATGTCTTGAACAGAAATTGCAGATGGTCCATAAACTAGACCTAGATTTGAATAGTAGAAAGAAAATGATCTGTCTTGCATTTGGGGAATTGAATAACATTTTCTCTTATCCCAAACTTATTTTTAAAACAAAAAGCCATGATTTTTTAAAAATAGTATTCTTCCATGACACTTATACACTTATATTTTGCCCCTCCTAAGATCTTATAGGGACTAATGAGATAGTACCCTGAAAGAAGAGAGTTTACAATTGGAACTGTGCAGGGTTTGAGCAAGAGAGTATGAGATCTTGCCAGTATGTGAGATTTGGAAGAACCAAGCCATCAGTGGAGAAGGCAGATCAGAGATTGTTAAAATGAGTTCAGCCTTCCCTGTCAGGCAGGTAGGTCACTGGCAACCAGAGTGGAGCAGTAATAGGAGTGGTTTTACTCCCTTGGCTGCAAAGGCAAATGTTTGAAGGCATTTTTCTATTTTTTACTTGCCTCTATCTTCTTTCAAGACATGTTTTTCCACTTAGACCTTTTTACTTCCTTTACACAGATTTTTCAGTGTGTGATAATGCTTTTTACCCCCTTAATCTTGATTCATTCAATTGAAGAATTGGTTTGTTCATTGTTTTGCTGAGTATACAGTAAATGTAATCCTAGTATGATAATGTGACTGGGAAGCAGCTCTGAAGTGGCTTTATATTTCCCTTAATACATCAGCTAAGACCCTGTTCCTCACTTATTGGTCAAGGACACCACCTGAAGGCATATTTTTGACTGATTTTATTCTGTATGTTTCATAGTTATACTCCTAAAAGCAGAGTTAAGTGGAAACTGGGGCTTCTTTTTTCTGTCTGTCCCTCAAACAAGTTTGTCTTCATTTCTATTGGTTGTAACTACCAGGTATGGCTCACTGTAAGAGAGATTGCTGGGTTTGTGGGGAAAAATATCTTACTCCTCTCCATCTCCGAGAGAGAGAGAGAGAGAGAGAGAGAGAGAGAGAGAGAGAGAGAGAGAGAGAGAGAGAGAGAGAGAGAGAGAGAGAAAGAGAGAGAGAGAGGTGGAGAACGTAGTCAAGAGGGTGAGGGGTGAGAGGAGGGAACTGGAGGGCAGAGTCCTGCCCCAGATGATGCAGAAGGTTTTTGACTCTGCCCCTTTCTAGTTGGGAGGGACAGGAGTGAGGACAGAGATAGTCAGACACTATGGTGACACCTAGGGGCTAAATACATGTATGCATGTGTATCTATACATAGCATGCAAACATAGGTACGCACATGCAACTCACACATATACATATGTACACACATGTATATGCATGTGAATCATGGAACATTATGATTTCTAAGGATTCAAATGACTAAATGACTGTGTGCAAAATTGTCATAAAATACATCAAATAAATGTATGACTGAGAAAGGAGGTCAGTGGTTAATACAGTAAGACTGATGTACTTGAACATATGCTAAGGAACCAGCCTCTAGCATATTAGGTGGACCTCTGTAGAAAACTACTATGTGACTTCAACAAAAGTTGCACAAAATGAGAAGGCATGAATGAGTTATGATCTGCACTTTTGGAGGGAGTACAGAAACGGATGAGATCAGAGAGCCATTCATGATTAATATTGTTGTAATATTAATTTAGTACTCATTCTCTGCTGAATACTCATGTGATGTGGCAGTACTCTTATAGGAATAATCTACATATTCCTTCATGGTACTTGGAACAAATTTGAAGTGTGCAAGGTTGGTTTTTGGCAACTCTCTGAGCCTTTCCTGATGAACTAAGCGGCCTTACATATAACATAGATATGCAAAGGAAATGTGCTGTTATGATTAACTCTCAGTGTGAGAATTTTCCAAAGTATGTAGCAGTTAAATGACTTGCTAAGGGCCACTTGACTATTGTACAGGGTGGAATTTGATGCTATGTCTTCCTGACTCTAAGCCCAGTATTTTATGTACCGTTTTCCTAGGTAGCATCATGCATTAATTTCAATTCACCATCGAAACTGTCAGGAATCTTAGACATCATCTAGCTAGTCTAAGCCCCTCATTTCACAGTTGAGGAAACCTAAGCATATTGAGTTGGTGACTTAGAAGTCACTTAGCCAATGAGTGGTAGGACATATTCATGCTCAGCCAGATCTTTCCCGTGTCCAGTTCTTTTTTTGCTACACTGCTTTTCCTTCAGAAAGACTTTAAAAATAATCTTTTTTTTGGGGGGGAAGTGGGGGTGGGGTTAGGACCCGTGATTTCATAAGTGAATTCTCAGTGTAGAAACTCCCTGCACAGATTCACTGAGAAACGAGGTGACTTGCCTGTGGTCAGTCAACACACTTTTTTATTAAGTGATTACTTACTATGTGCCAGGCACTGGGCTAAGCCCTGGAGATAGAAAAGGCAATAACAAGGGTCCCCTCTTGACCTCAGATTCGAATTGGGGGGACAACATGTAAACACCTATGTCCATACAAGATATATACAGTGTAAATGGGAGGTCACAAAACTAGCACGTGTTACAGGCAGGGTTTGAACTCAGGTATCTCTGATTTCAAGGCAGAGCCTCTTCTTACATCATCTTACGTCAAAAAGGTATTAAGGATGGCAATACATATGAGGCTTTGGTGGGTATATTTTGGGGGTAAATTCAATGTTTTTTGATGATTGAAACATCGACCCTGAAACAAAAGCTATCTTTATTACTATAAACACCCATCTTTCCCAAGAAAGAAATCAGTAGAGGAAAGGTATGGGCAAAGAGCCTTCCATGCCCTCAACTAAGATGGCTGTGGTGGCTTCACGCGAGGTCCCACCTCCAGGCGGCTGGGGGAGGGGCGAAGCAGGGCGTCACGTGGTGCCGGCGCGAGCCGCATGCATCCGGGCTCCCGTACGGCCTCGCCTGTGGCTGCGCGAGGCGGCTCGGGGTGCTCGGCCCTGGGGGGAAGGGAGAGAAGGGGGCGGGCAGAGGAAAGGAGCGAGCCGAGGCCGGCGGCTGGCGGGGAAGGCTGTCGGCCGAGGGGAGGCTCTGCTTGCGGCCGGAGCGTGCCGGGGATCCCCGCAGAGGTAGGAGCGGCGCCTGCGGTCGGCTCCCCGGTTGCGGGGCGAGGTGCGTGCGGTGACAGCGCCTGCCGAGCATGGCGAGCTACCTGCCTCCCTGCGTGGTGGACTGTGGCACCGGGTAAGAGCCGCTCGTCCTCGCCACCCTCGCCCCCGCCTCTCCCCCGGCCTTCCCTGCGCTCTCCATGTCCCTCACCTTGCCGTTCTGTCTTCGTCGGGCGCCACCTTTCCCTTGCCCTTCGCCCCAGCTCCACAGCCTGAGGCGTCAGGTGAGTGGGAAGGACCCTCACCTCCCCGCGTTCCCCCTCGTCCCCACCATCCTGTCCCATCCCTGTCTCCATTCCCTTTTCATTTTCATCCCCGTCCTCATCCCCCTCCTCATCCCCACCTCTCTCCCATGCTCCACCCTCGTCCCCCATTTCCCTCACCCTTAATCTCCATTCCCATCCCCAACTCTCTTTCCATCCTCTTCCCCACCTCTCTCCCATGCCTCATCCTCATCTCCCACTCTCTAGCTAGTCCCTATACGTAATCCCCCATTCCATCCCCATGCCCAGCTCCCTCCCATCCCTATCCCATCTTCATCAGTATTTCCATCTTCATCCCCACCTCCGTCACATCCCCATTTCATTTCCACCTTTTCTCTACCCTCATCCTCACCCTCACCTCCCTGTCTTCCTCATCATCTTCCTCTCTTTGATCTTCTACCCTCATCCTCATCCACTCCTCCCCTCACCCCCAAACTTTATCCCTGTCCCCGTCTCCATCCCAGGGCTCATCTCCATCTCCATTCCCATTCCCATTTACATCCAGACTAGTCTTATACCTTCCAGTTACCTAAACACTTGAGGAAGGATAAGAGTACCTTTTCTTTCTCTCACAATTTTGTATCTTCCTCCCTTTCACCCAGGAACTTAAATTATTTCTCCCCTACCCCTCAAAAGCCAGTACTTACATATGCCATTCAAGGCTTTATTCATGTGGCCGCTGAAAATGGGCATTCACTGGACCACATGGAGAGAAAAAAATGTATCAGGTCAGAAATGTAGTGAGATAGTACCCAATTTAACCAACCATGCCTGGATTGCATCCCGTCTCCCACCTCTTAATGGATCAAATAGTAGGATTAAAGAGGGGATTTTTAACCTGGAATCTGTGAGCTTGTTTTTTTCTTAATGTTTTGATGACTGTTTTTCAATAAAATTGGATTCCTTTGTAATCTTATGTATTTATTTTATGCATTTAAAAACATTATTCTGAGAAGTGATCCATGGATTTCACTAAACTGCTAAAGTGGTCCATGACACAAAAAAAATTAAGAGCCTCTGGAATAAAGAGACCTTGTCTTTTAGCCTCATTCTTTTCTCATCTTGGTGCATGGTGAGAAGGTGCTGGATTTGTAATCAATGAACCTGAGTTAGAATTCTAGCTCTGGTACTTACTGCCTCTTTGACCTTGGAAAGTCATTATTCTTCCTAGACCTCAGTTTCTTCATCTGCAAATATGGGGGTGTTGTACTACAGCTCCCAAGTTCTTTCCAACGGCCAAATCAAATGATCTGTCACTAGTGCTATTCATTCATTGGGTAGGAAAGATGTTCCCATTATAATTGTGTTGTTTTCCGTTTACTGGCCTTAGTCTTCATTAGGCAGTGTGAATCACTATTGTTTGTGTTACTTCTGTCCCTTATCTTCCCCTTCTCTTATGTACCAAGTTGCAGTTTCTCCTTCTTCCATATCACTAAAGGCATCTTGGGTAGAATGATCATCTAAACCTACTCTAACTCCAGGACCCTAAATAGATTTAGTGCTGGAAGGGTTCTTGGAGGTCATCTAATTCAGTCCTTCCTTTTGCAGGTGAAGAAACTGAAGGTGAAGTGACTTAGTTAGGGTCACACAACTAATAGTGGCAGAGTTGGGATATGAATTCAGATTTTGACTTCAAATTCAGCATTCTTTCCACTGTACCACACATTTTTCCTGATGATTTAAACAAATTTTTTCTTTAGGCAGTTGGGGTTAAGTGACTTGCCCAGTGTCACACAGCTAATAAGTGTCAAGTGTTTGGTCTGAGGCCGGATTTGAACTCAGGTTCTCCTGACTTCAGGGTCCATGCTCTATCCACTGTGCCACCTAGCTGCCCCCTTCCCTGATGATTTCTGTCCACTACTCTTCCAGTGATAAATATATCAAGCTATTCCTTACTCTTCTTTCCCTTGCTCCCCTTCCCCCCCAATACCTCATTATTCTGTTCCAGTATTAAAACAACATATTCTAACTTATTCTGGTCCAATACTAAAACCACACACTCTAAACAGTTAGTTATGACAGAGCTCCTATCTTAGGTTTATTTAAAGCACTCTTGGAGACCTTAAAATATAGTGGGTGAAAATGACATACTCCATTTTTGGGAAAGTCTACATTTGTGAAACCTCTTTTTTTATTATTATTTTTTTTAAACTTTCAGTGTGATTACTTCTCCTAAAATAGTACTGGTAAGGCGATTCTATATTTGAGTTCATAAGAACTCAACTCATTTGAATTCTGAGGAATTCATGTACTTTCAGTTGCCTAAGCTAGTCTGCTTTAGACAGATGATGATGGTGATGAGGTGCTAAAAGTAAATTCTTATCCTCTTGATTTTATATATATATATATATTTATGTATAGATATATATTATATATGCATACATACACATATTCAAATATAAATATATTCAAATTACCAAGCTTGGTAATTTGAAAATTCTAGCTTATATTCTTACATATGAATGAGGCATGTAACAAAATAGCCTGGTATTAAACATTTAAAAGACTTTTTAATAATTTTTGTCACAAAATATCTTAGTATAGTTTTCACAGCCTTGATTCCTTTTGCTTTTGATTATCTTTCAACTTTGTGGGGATATGTCTTTTATAAAATTTTCAACAGTTTATTTCAGTCTGATCATACTTTCCTTTAGATTTAGAAACTAGTGCTTGTGTTTATACTTTCTGTGCTAACAGTTATCCCTGAAATACAGCGTATTGGGAATTTTTGTAGGTTTCTATTCAGAAGTTAATTTGGTATGCAAAACACAAGCATGGGTCAGTATTGTTAAAACTCCTGGGAAGAAATTATTGGCTTCCTCTTTCTTTTACTTTCCCTTGGAATCTTGTTTTCTTTAGTGGAGATCAGAGTGAAAGAGTGAAGAGTGTAGAAAAAGGTCCTTAAAATAATAATTAAGCATCTGTTTTTGAGAATTTTGATTTTATTTTTAGATTTGTAATACTTGTTTTATCAGAAATGATTTCTGAAAGGTAACAGTAAAGTCTGTTGCTAGACCTTTCATGTCTTAATTTCTTGATAACTTGAGTATCCATTCCAATTTTTTTAGGAGAGATAAAGTAAATTATCAACATTTGAATTTTATTGGGGGGGGGGAGGGGAAATGCATGTTACCATCAGAGAAATAGTTTCTGTTTAATTGCTTCATATTCCCAAAACTGTGCTGCTCACTTCTGGCTTCTTTTAGGAAAAAAGAATTAAGAAGATGTGATCTGTACTGTTTCAATGAATAAATAAAGCCATTTCTGGTGTAGTTATTATTCCAGTGCCCAAAAGTAATAATGTCAGAGTTTTCCCAGAAGGTTTGAAATAGATACACTGCTCTGGTAAGCAGTGTGGGGTTTTATGAATTCCCATCTAGCATTATATTTCCCAAGTGACTAAAACTTTTTATAACTTTTCTAGGATGAATGAGTTTTATTTGAACCTTGCATTTGTTTCACTTTATTTGGTATGGCAACTTTACCTTTTCCCAGCCTTTGAGTTCAAGAATAAAATATTGTTTTCCTGTACCTTACATAGTTTGTATAGAGGACAATTAATTGAATGAGAGCAATGATAAATACGAGCTATGGGTATATGAATATATGTATTAGAGTTCAGATGTTTCTCAATTTTCTTTTCAGCCCACCATTAATGTCAAAGACCCCTGTAAAAGAATATGGTATAAATGTTTTTTATATAATATGTAAATTCTTATTTAACACTAAAAGGAATTTAAGACTGCCTGAAGGACCAGTCCATGTCAGTTGATGCAGTGCATTTTTTTTTATCCATAAGGCAAAGAAAATAGAGATAGAATGAAAATTTTTTTATTTCAAAGTAAAATTATAATTACATTTTTATTTCACTTGACTCTTTTGATGCTTCTAGTGTTAATGACTACATCAGAATGGCTAGTTGTTTCTTGATTCATTTCCCCTGAAATATTGGGTGATTAATTTATTTTTTGAATCTTTCAATAAAACAAGGAAAGTTTTCTTTTATTGACCTTGATTGGTACATGTCATTGAAACCATATTAAAGAAGTTATACTTTAGTTTCTGAACAGTAATTATTTGAGCCCACTTTAAGTTACCTTCTGCTTAAAGCACATGGTTGTGGGAGGCATTCTAGTTCTGTATAAATGTCGAGTTGACAGCAGTCAGAATAATCCACCTGACATTGCAGAGTTAAAGAATCAACATGTTACTGCTGTAGAAAAAGGCTGTTAAAATGTTGGAGAGAATGAATTAGAGGTTACTGTCAGCACCTTTCAAACCAGTGCCAGACTGAGTGGGGGCCTAATATAGTTTTGTTACAACATGTTGACATGTTTGCATATCTGTTGCTTTTACCTTCCTTAATTCTGGAAGTGGATTAAAGAGGAGAATGCATGGAATGTAGCAGTCCTAAATGGTAGTTTTTTGGCACCTTCCTGGCATACAAATATGGATCTTTAGTTCATTTTTCATGTTATCCATATTTTGCACATTTTTATGTAGACACTGGAAGCCACGGATTTTTTTTTCCTGCTTCTTTTCCTTAATTTTGCTGGTTCTGAACTTTTGGGTGTTTGTACAATTTTGTTTCTACATGGTAGTTACAGTTTATGGTAGGGGTTCTTAACCTTTTTTGTATTATGAACCCCTTTCTGGCAAGGTTGATGGACCCTTTCTCAGAATAATGTTTTAAAATTCATAAAATAAAATATGTAGAATTAGAAATGACATCAAAATTATATTAAAATAGTTATTAAAATTTTTTTTTAAAGTTCTTAGATCCCAGGTTTAGAACCCCTGGTTTATGGATTTAGATTGTTGGCTATAAATAGTTTTCTGTCTCTCCTCTCTCTGTGTCTCTAACTGCCCACCCCCCTCCTGGTTAAAACTCTTTTGATTAGATTTAAAAGTCAGTGCTATCATACTGGCCTTTATTAGATGCATGCTGTCCCAGGATAGGA